GAACCACGCCGAAGTCAATTCTACCCATTTCTGTGTAAAGAACGACCTGAGGCGAGGCTAATTCTTTCAAGAAATCTACTGAGGGACTCGAACCATGCTGAATCATGTTGACTGAGCTACGAACTGGTGAAAGAAACGTTTGAGAATGTACCAAGTCCACTGTCTGATGCTGGGAATCATGACAACTAATATGACAGACGACTTCGGACTAACTGCGTTCTACATAGTCGCCCTGACAACCAGACCAAGTTGCGACAACGAGGTCAACCGACTTCCAATCCAACTTAAAGTCACGTGTGTGTGTGTGTCTGTGCGACGTAAAGAAAGTGTGACTGTAGCATGACAACTTGCTCACCATGTACAGGGTGATGCAGACACCACGGTCGGCCGGACAGGAGGCAGATGGACGAAGATGGACGATGACTTGCCTCAAAATCACGTACAAACTAACAACAAACGACTTCCATCCGTGTCCATGCCAGACCGAGCGTCCCGGACTGGCTACGTGACAGTCGTGCCGCCGATAAGCAGCGTTCATTTGAGAAAATCTGACATTTGGCCAGTCTTTTCCGGACACTTTTGTTCCGGCTCGTCTAATCGTCAATTTGCATTTGGCAGATAAGCGCACCAAACTGCCTGTCTCAACACGCCATTGCCCAAATCCGTCAAGGCCAGAGCATGATTCACGCAGACCAGATCGATATTGCAACTTTTCAAACATCGGGCCATAAAACGGACTACTAAAAATAGCAGTTCGCCCTGGTGAATCATTATGCCTCAGTGTCCGACTCAACCAATCAGAAGACGCTATTTATGGCCTGTTAAAAAAGGCTAGTCGTGCTGACGCGACGGCGAAAGGCCGGATGGGCAACACGCGCCATCGCGCCAACAGGAGCAGATTTTGTCGTTTTGTGCCGTGAAGATTTGTTGAATTTGACCTTATCTTCCCATTTTCGCTACAGTTTTGCAGGACAGTGATGAGGACAAGTGAGTAGGCTTGAGGACATGCACTTGGAGGTGTTGGCAATTTTGCTGCAGGCACAGTTGCCCCGACGTGAAACGTGTCAATTTGAGACAGAAATAGAAAATAACATCATTTTGTTGCTTTATTTGTGCATAAACGGTCTGTACGAGGCCTCGAGAGAGCCGCGAAAACAAATTCAAATAAATTTTGTTTTGATAGGTTGAGTTTCGAGATGTATGAGATGTATCCAGTCCAGTTTGTTCAAGATTTCTCGAAACCCTACTTGCCGACGAAAAATAAGTAGTGCAATCGAATGTTACAGCAAATATAACTTTGTGTACATGTATCAAGACCAAGATGGTGTGGCCTTTTGTGTGGTCGCAGTCTCTTTTCGTTCTATAGAGCTTGTTTGACCCTGTTTTCGCAACTTGGTCATGTTGGTAGGACGACTTAGAGAAACGCACATAGTCCGGAGTCCATTGTATGCATGATTGTCTCAGAAGTCGAAACGTGGACGTGGTACATTCCCACACGTTTCGCCGGCATCGTCAGTGAGTATCGCCATTCGTAGCATCATATTACAACTCGTCAAAAAGGCAAGTGAAAATAAAGAGAAAGAGTGAAATAAAGAGGGAGATACAGTGGATGAATCAGATAGAGAGAGTGAAAGTTTGAAAGAGAAATAAAGTTAATGAGAATGCGGAAGTGAAAAGGAAGAGAAAGATTGAAAGAAAGAAGATGATAGAGTGAAAGCAAGAGAGGGATAGAGTGAAAAATAAACTAGAAATACTGAAACTGAGAAAGTTGAAGTATAAAGTAAGAGAAAGAATAAATAAAGAGGGAGATATAGTGGATGAATCAGAGAGAGTAAAAGTTTGAAAGGGAAATAAAGATAATGAGAATGCGGAAGTGAAAAGGAAGAGAAAGATTGAAAGAAAGAAGATGATAGAGTGAAAGCAAGAGATGTATAGTGAAAAATAAACTAGAAATACTGAAAGTGAGAAAGTTGAAGTATAAAGTAAGAGAAAGAATAAATAAAGAGGGAGATATAGTG